ACTTAGTACCGTACACCAGAGCTCGTAAGCAAAGTAATTCCGTGAGGAACCACAAGCAATGTCGTAAAGCCCAACAAAGGGTGACGCCCAGATGGTGACGTGACGCCCAATCGATTACGTGTTCGCGCGCGTATGCACGAATCTCGCTCGCCCATTACTCGTTGCATGAAACGGCTCGCAGCCCTCAGGCTGAAATGAATAAATTAAGAAGCCTTATTACTTACTATGGCTATCCCAAGTGTTGTTGAGTCAACCAGTGCGGGTGTTACTACTAACATGGTGGAGAACCCGCTGGCTGAGCTCCTTGAAGTCCTCGGTATTGCTGAACCCTCACTACTACTATGGTTATCTGCCGCTGAGTTAGAGACTGCCATGGAAGGCCAACCCCTTAGTGAGAAGGTCTATCTACGCCGTACCTTCTTCACCTATATAGACGCCGAAAGCCCTAACTCTCAAGCTGCAAGCCTCTCTCGAAGACAAGCAAACACAGTACATCCACAGCAAGTTACATCTTCTGCTCTCCCACTGTGCAGGTCTACGTTCAAGGAGTGCCCCAGGCCCCTCTCGTGCAAGGTCAACAACACCTTTGTAGCAACGACATCACCAACGCGGCGTATTGGTGTGATCTATTCCACAACTATGACAAGGAGAAGGCGCTTGATACAACGAAGGCCATCAATGCTGTTTCCCATATCAAGTTCCCCGACAACAAACAATACAAGGGGAACTTTGATAACAGGAGTATCAACTACTTGTTGAGTCTTGTCCGCTGTGAATCGAAGCAAACAGCGCTGGGCCCTCGTCGAGGGCCCCTCGATTATCGGATATCTACCTATCCAACTGCCTTAGCCAGTCGGTCAAGAGGAACTTACAGATCCACTTGGAAACTACTATTGACCCCACTCTCTACTTGAACGACTATATTCTGACCCTATCACAAGCACTTGGCTACCCTTAACATAAGTACTCTCTGTCAAATTCACATGCGGAAGTCATGAGATACTTCTCTGACCTCTTCTTCTTATATAACTTGGTCGCGGCACGACCCGGTTGAGGGCCTTTTTGCCGCCGAAGTTGACCATTTATTATTAGACTAGACGGCCAAGCATCGAGGCCGTCATGTCAACGGTCACCGTTGAACGGTGCAATCTTTCGACTCCACAGTCGGACCATAACCAATGATCACGTCGTTGGTAGAGGGTTAGTCAAGCGCCCTGTCCTCACCACGAACTCCTCGAGAAGCGCCGCAAGCTCGTTGTCTCTGACCAGTATATCCCCTCCTGCGGGAGGACATTGCAGACCCCTACTCGCTAAAGCGGACCGCAGTGGCGCTCTTTCATTCACCCATCTCTCACAGTGGAAAATAAAATGAGCGTGATCCTCGTCGGTCCCACTCTCACAGAAAGGGCAAGCCGAGTCTCCACCATCTATCCGGCAGCGAGAGTGCCGTAGCCAGTTCCGTCCAGAGATTATTCTTAGCAAGTTCGGTAAGCCATGTTGGGATGCCAGCGCTTGCAGTGCCGATGCCGTTGGTACGAAGTATTGTAGGGAGCCACCTAGGGACCACCTAGGGAGCCACCTTCTTGCACTAGGGACCCTTTGAAGTCCCGGCTTAGAGACTCTCCATTGATGAGCTCCGCTGCCCTCTTGCAGTCAGTGTAGACAATAAGGGTATGGCCTCGCGCCTCGTGCAGTTCCATGACGGCGAGAAGAATCCCAGCTATCTCAGCATGAAGAGGGATTGTATGCGGCGGTAACTTCCATCCTTTGATCTTCCATTCTCCCGTACGGGCTAAGTAAGCTGTGGCACAGCTCGCCTGCTCACCAGTTTTCACAGATCCGTCAGTATAAATGGCTTCGCAGTCCCCGCGGCTCTCTCCAGGTCTATCTAGCATCAACTCCCGAGACTGTGCTGGCGGGATATCGACCGGATACCCCTGAGTAATATGCTGAGCAATGACTTCCTCAGAGGTTACCGGCTTGAGCACTGGGCACAGAATGCACCTTTTCACACATTGCATCCTACATAGTAAGTCCCAGGGTACACCACGGGCCCGAGCCCGCATGCGAAGGCTGTCACACACCTGGAGTCCAGTCGTGTGGCTCTTCTGTAAAATCGTGCTTGCAGTCACTGCAATGCAGTGCTCGTAGTTGCCGGGACGCGCGAGCTCGTGAGAAAGCCGCGCCCCAACAGCTGACAGCATAAAGCAGTGTGCCCCTGGCCACGGCTTCGAACAGTTCCAATGCTATGGCGGACTGATAGCCCCAGTTGCTTCTCACGTGGGTTTTCACCGAATGATAGGTCCCTTCAAGGCTGTGCATCACGGCTGAGACGTGTGCCTTCCATTTGAATTTCCGGTCTAGATATTATCTACGGTTATCTAGTAGATAACCTTCGAGCCAAACCACCGGAGCCTGCTCAACCTCACAGCTGGAGAAACGGAACTTACTCGACACCCCGCCATGATTCCTAGTAGCCGGGAAGCACATGAGTTTGGTCTTGCCCCACGACAGCATCGCCTTCACTTTATGGCACCACTCCATGAAGGCTCGTCCTATCAAGTCAAGACTTCTCTGTATCTCCTGCTCGGACGCATACCGGAAAACTTTTCCGGTATGCGTCCGAGCTTTCCGGGAAAAGTACAATACCATCATCTGCATAAACAATAGTAACCCATGCCGACAGCGCCTCGCAAAAACTCAGCATGAATTTCATGCTGAGTTGAAACTGTTTCATGCCATGAAACAGTTGTAAGTCCATGAAGAGGTCACCCCTCGCTGAGGCGTTCCTCTTGTAAGGCATTTTTCATAACACTGGCCGCCGTGATAGAGTTTGATTCTCCGACCGCTGAAATAGTCTTCAAGCAGAAGTAAGTGATCGTGAGGCAAACCTTGCTGCGTGCACACAAGGGGGAAACTCAATGTGGGGCGCCACCCGATTGTAGATGAGGCGATCAAACAACCTCGCTAGTCCCGTCGATATCGTAATTGGCCTCCAGGACTTCGGCTCCCAGGGCGGGCAGCCATTCCGCTTAGGAAGTGTGATAACAGATCCTTGCTTCAGAGTACCGGGGATCCTACGCTGGGCCACGTAAGCTGAGAATAGCCCGCAAAAAAAAGACGGGCTCCCGTTCTACAGCTAGCTTGAGGGCGGTGATGGGCACACAGTCTTCCCCAGAGCACGATTTAGCATTCAGCTTCGCTAGGCCACCAAGCAGCTCTTCCCGACTGACCGGATCCGCCAGGACTGGCAAAGACCTCAGATGCTTCAAATTGTCGCACACTTCCTGCCGAGCCGCTGACTGTTCCTGAGAGTCGGGCTCCTCGTCTGGGAAAAGCTTCTCCGCCAGCTCCTCCGGGGAGATGTATGATAATACCGCGGGACGCCGCGATTCCTTCCACCTTTGATGGTATCGGAGAGCTTCATGTGGTGTTGCTATCGACGATACTGCATCTCTGGCATGCTGATTACGGCGCCTCTTCTTAGTCCGACGCAGTTGTCTCGTTGCTCTCCGCAGCTCTGCCCTGAGTTCCGTGGAACCATTCGTCCGTTGGAGTCTTCTGCGCAACCAGGCGACTTTCTGCTACCATCAGTTCAATTTCGATGTTCCACCAGACAGTCTGGTCCAGACTGGACGGCCTTCCTCACGCCTCTTTGGTTTATAGCGACACAGTTCCACAGTTTCGCGCAGACTGTGGCAGACTTGAGCGGTGAAAGTCTCCACCGAGGGCCAGCTGGAGGGGAGCAGCTCCGAGAGTGAGGGGAGACTTCTACAAATGATTTCTGCAAACTTCTCCTCATCAAACTTCTTTCTCCCATGCTATGGGGGAGATCTGATGAGTGCATGATCTGAAATCTCGGACATTGGATGCGCCCACGCTACTTCCCAGCCCATCACATGGCTGACGAGGTCTTGAGAGCACAGTGTCACATCAATATGTGAGGTACTATCCCGACCATCGACTGTGTTCCGATGACTATGAAAAGTTGGTTGGGAATCAGGGTCATTCATGATATGCAGGCCTTTGGAGACAGCCCAGTCCTCGAAAATCAATCCTCTGCGCCTCTGATATGACCCTCCATTTCCCGGTTGCCCCCATGCTGCACTCCATGCATTCGTGTCACAACACAGGATAGAGCGCCTATCTAGAT